ATACCGTGCTAGAATGAACGGTGCGTTTAAGCAACTCAACCTTCACACGCTTCTGCGCATAACGTCTTCACACTCTTCTGCGTATAACCTGCGACAATACACGTTTATTGAAAGAATGCCTTTCCAGTCAGAGTAAGATTTATGTAACAGAATTGTTTTACATGCAAACATAACTATATCTCGATGTAAGTTGGAGTCATGAGGCACTTCTTTCGGAGAATTACAATTTTAGAAATCGCCTGCACAAATATACGCAACTTTGACGCCCCGAATCAACCACCTAAAGGATATGACGTTTCGTTTTGACCAAAACACAAGTCGTAGGGCAGATTGCGCGGTCACGTGCTGCCCCTGTGTGAGAAGACACGTTGTCCCTTAGTCCATTTCAGTTCTAAGTTGACGTGTTGTAGGATCTTATGAACAATTGTTTCATAGGCACTTTAGAATTAGACGTAGTTACGTGTAATAGCATGCCTTGCCATAATCAACAGGTTGCACGTGGCAGTAGGTGTGAGCAGAGCACACTGAAGCAGGTGCGTTTTGCCAATGGCGATGGTTCTGACAGTGAGTCGGTGGAGAAACAGAGTGAAGCCGCAGTAAACAGCGACCCCCCGATCCAGCTGAAGCTTTTACCCCTCACTGACCAAATCCGTGAACTACAGACCATAATCAGGGACAAGTGAGCTTTAATCGTGTCCTGAATCATGCATGCCCTGAAGTTAGTATACACGTGTATTGCTCTAACATTTGAATGTGTTATCCATAGAACCACAAGTAGAGGGGACTTTGTGTTCTGTGCTGACAGACTGGTAAGACTCATGTACAAAATCTGACCAATACAACTTACTACAGTGATTGATCCCCAGTGAAGTTCCCTTAAGCACTTAAGTTAGTGCTGAATAATTACAAGCTTATGTGTGCACATTCACCACACAAACAAATGTGGAGTTCACAGTTTACAGATCCTACATATACATGCACACAGTACTGTGCAGATGTCTTAGGCACATGTAAAGAAATGCTGTAAAGCAAAGACGCCTTCAGAAATAATGAAATGATCCTACAAAAACCACTATAAAGAGCAGTAAACAGTAATAAACTACACAGAGTCAGTATTTGGTCTGACAAGAATGTTGTGTTATACAAAATCATCAGTAATCTCACTTTGTGTATACTTTGTGCAGTAATTGGCTGGTAGGTTATACTGAGCATCTTGGAGAATCTGCCACAGTTCTGTTAGAGACTCTGACTGTCACACTTGCTTCTTTTATTGTGTGCAAAACCCGACAGACTTCATTGTGGTTTTTTGTCTGAAAAGTGGTCTGGTATGTAATATGTAACTTTCTTTACTGACCTACAAACATCTTTCTGTTTTTCCTGGCCTATAATGCAGAAGTCATAAAATAAACATCTAAGATAAAATTAGGATTTAAAAAAAATATAGCATGCATAAGACTTTTGCACAGTACTGTATATCACTGCCATCATTATGATCATTTCAAGCAGATTTCTCTGCTTAAAACAACTTAATAACACACACACACACACACACATATTAAACAATATACATGTTATATATGTATACAATATATAAAAATATTACAATTTCATTTTATACTTCAATTGTAATTATAATATATATTATAATTACAATTGCAGTATAAAATGACATTGTAAAATTGTTATATATTGTGTACAGTATACACTAATTATGATATATTTTATATTACAAATATTATATTCCAGTATTTTTGTAAAATGCTTCATATGCTCTTGTAATACAGGTTAAATACAGGTCAAATATACTGTATGCTATAATTATATAATTTTAAGTATGTAATACAATTCAAATACAAAATTAGCATTTTCCAAGTGTATCTTTGGAAAAATTGTCATCATTGAATTCTTTATTTATTACTGAATGACATTTCATGCCTTTTAACAGTGTATACAGTCATGGGAAAAAGAAAGTACACTCTACTTCAGTTATGTGTTTTTACTTATCAGGGCCTAAATAACAATTGTGTGGTCCTCACCAACTTCTATAAACAAACAAAAAACCTCAGATGACAACAAAAAACACAACGTATTTCAATGTGTAGTATTTTTTTTTCCCCAAAAAGTAAACCAACATTCAGAAACCAGTGGGAAAAAAAGAAGTACACCCTTCCTACTTACACAATCGTTAAGAGAGTAATTAGCAGCCAGGTGTTACTAATGAAATGCACAAGATTAGCTAATCATCAAGAAGTGTGACTACATCTATAAAAGCGGAACTTTTGGCAGTTTGGTGTTCTGGAGCACTCAGGTGTGTGTCTACATCATTCCAAGAAGAAAGGACATCAGTCATGATGTCAGAGAAACAATTGTCGCTGCTCATCAGTCTGGGAAGGGTTATAAGGCCATCTCCAAACAATTTGAAATTCACCATTCTACAGTGAGAAGGATTGTTTACAAATGGAGAGTCTTCAAGACAGTTGCAAATCTTCCCAGGAGGACCGAGGAAATTCGGTCCAAGGTCAGACCGTTTAATGCTCAGAGATATAAAGAAAAAAAACATGAGCTACGTTGTGTGACCTGCAGACCTCTGCAAGCACATTAAATGTTTATGTTCATGAGAGCACAGTCAGAAAGAGACTGGACAAATACGGCTTTCATGGAAGGGTGGCTAAGAAAAAGCCCCTTCTCTCCAAAATGAATATGGAGCACGACTTAGGTTTGCAAAATTGCATCTGAACAAACCACAAAAATTCTGGAACAATATCCTTTGGACTGATAAGACCAAGGTGGAGATGTTTGGTCATCATACACAACGCCATGTTTGGTGAAAACCAAACACAGCGTATCACCACAAACACCTCATGCCAAATGTCAAGCATGGTGGTGAAGAGGTGATGATTTGGGCTTGTTTTGTAGCCACAGCACCTGGGACACTTGCAGTCATTGCGACAGCAATGAACTCCGCTTTATACCAAAATATTCTTGAGACAAAAATGCAACCATCTGTCCAGCAGCTTAAGCTGGGTAGAAATTGGGTCATGGAACAAGACAATGATTGCAAGCACACTTGCAAATCGACATCTGAATAGCTAAAGAAGAAAAAAATCAAGGTGTTGGCATGGCCAAGTCAAAGTCCAGACCTCAACCACACTGAGATGCTGTAGTGGGATCCTAAGAGAGCTGTGCATGAACTAATGCCCTCAAACATCAATGAATGGAAGCAATGTTGTAAAGAAGAGTGGGCCAAAATTTCTCCAAAATGATGTGAGAGACTGATAAACTCCAACAAAAACATTTACTTCAAGCTGTTGCTAAAGGTGGTTCTACATGTTACTGAATTATAGGGTGTACTTATTTTTTCCAACCTGGTTCCTGAATGTTGGTTTACTTATAGGGAAAAAATGACTACATATTGAAATCTGTTGGAGTTTTTTTGTTGTTGTTGTCACCTGAGGTTATTTCTTTGCTTAGAAGTTGGAGAGGCCCACACAATTGTTATTTCAGCGCTGATAACTAAAAACATAGAATGGAAGGAGGGAGTACTTTCTTTTCTGATGACTGTGGTTACATGTAAGTCATTACATTCACGTACCTTATAGCAGCTATAAACAGTCATCCCCTCGCCCGCTTTTCATATTACCAAGAAATCGCAAAGTCCTCTGTCATGGAGACGTACTGACTTTTAAAAAGCACTGACACCTACTGGAGATTTCTTTACAGAAGCCTTCACTACATCAGCAACTCTACATTTTTCTTTCTTAAATGACATTTTTTTCATTCGTTCATTAATAGCCTTAGGTTATATATATTGTCCGTCCTGTGAATGAGCTGTTACTATAGAAACAATCATGCATTAGAACGAGTGCATTAATAAAATCATGTGATTTGCCTTACAGCCAAAACTATTTTCAGAGCTGCTAATAAAGAACCTTAATCAACACCTTCTGACCAGTCAGTTTAGAGAATTTGACAGTGCTGTGGTATAAAATTCAATAACGTCCATCTGTCAACACCAAATTAGCAAAAGCAAATATGATCATCTTTTTCAAGCTAAGAATAGAATTATATAATATCCATTACCAGGACACACATTTAATTTTGCATATATCAAGTATAAAAATATGAGTATAGCTTTAACATAGTACTCTAAATATACTGCTAATGAAAAAGTAATATATCGAGAGTCTTCACATATATAATGCATACTCCTCACGTGCACACTTTGTGGAAGCAGTGTTATAAACTAAGCAGTTCATAAATATTTTTCTAAAGTATTTCACCAATACCACTTGAACCAGAACCAACATAAAGTATAGTTTTTCAAAGCGTACTGAAATGTAGAAAACAGGAAGGAAAAAACTATTAACTGAAACAATGTACTCGAAGCATTCATTACATAAATGAAGTGCTGTCACATTAAAGCATAGTCATTTTCATTCGCACAAGGGTTTACTCGAAATAACTCAGTGATTTAAATGAAGTGCTTAAGAGAGCTGGTGGTGTACGCTGCCAATGCATTAAGACACACTCTTGATCTGTTCACAGATTAGACTTGTAGTTGAAGAAGGACTAAATCAGCTGCCTTATACGGAGTGCACAGTGACAACACCTACAGGTGAGTGCGTTCATTTCAGTTCCTAGCTGAGCCACTTTTCTACAGTTTGATTAAAGGATCTTCATTTATGTATATAGAGCTAAGTGGACACTTTGAGTCTTGTTACGTTCCACTGATTAATCCCCTAATTCCAGCTTCTGTTTTTGCCTGTGTTAATATCAGCATCTACGGTGGCCTGTTAGTGCCAAACAAATGTTGTTGTTGTTGTTCTTTTGTCGGCTGCTCCCGTTAAGGGTCGCCACAGCAGCTCATTGGTCCGCGTATTTGATTTGGCACAGTTTTTACGCCGGATGCCCTTCCTGACGCGACCCTCCCCACTTTTATCCGGGTGTGGGACCGGCACTGGGAGTGCACTGTCGTATGTAATCCCAGTGGCTGGGGTTGGTTCCCTGACCGGGAATCGATCCCGGGTTGCGGCAGTGAGAGCACCGAGGCCTGACCACTAGTCCTCCAGGGACCCTGTTAGTGCCAAACAAATAAACAAACTTTTAAAAAATGCAGTAGCAAAACCAAAAACACAACAGCCGGTTCAGAAACAAATCAACGTGAACTCAAAACAGAAAGAGTAAGTCACTTGCTTGTAAAAATCACTTGTTTGTTGCTGATTCGGCAAACCATATGACTATCACGAGGAAAATGACTCACTTTTTCAGTCTGTTATTTAGTCAGCCAAGCGAAAACTGATATGAAGTTACTTCCTTATATGAAAGCTTCCTTAATGCAGTGCAAAGTTGATGAAAAAGCATATCTGAAATGACATCATATCAGTGTGATTGAATATATGTAAATAAGCACAAATAAAAACATCAGTGTATTAATTTAATTCCGCAGTCTCTCAGACTGACGCACACTGTAGCCAATCAGCAGCAGCGATTTGATGCTCAGTTAAGAGCTACCCTCGAGTCTGAGTTCATGTTGATGTGTTTCTGATGTTGCTGTTGTGTTTTTACATTTGCTTGTTGTTGTTGTTGTTGTTGTGGTGGTGGTGGTGGTTTAGTATTGCTGTTGTGTTTTTAGTTTTGCTGTTGTCTTTTTATTTGCTCTTGTGTTTTAATTTATTGTTGGTTTTTTTTGTTGTTGTTGTTTTCCTGTTGTGTTTTTTTTTTTTATTTGCTGTTGTGTTTTTGGTTTTGCTGTTATGTTTTGTTTAATTATTTGTTCATGTGTTTTTCATTTACTGTTGTGTTTTTTATTTGCTGTTATGACTTTTTTCATTTGTTGTTGTGTTTTTATTTGCTGTTGTTCTGTTTCATTCCTCCTGACCGCCAGAGGCGATGCTAAGCACTAATGGATAATCGCTGCGCCAGCTAGATAGGTCGAGAAGGAAATACCAACAAAGTCACGTCATGACGTAGACCGAGATGCGAGGATATAAACCACAGCAGCTCGATGCCCAGCCTCTTTTCGCTTTCTCGCTTATGATAGGTCGTTGGTTAGCGCTGTCCCGTGCAGCTTACCTGAGTTGCGAGGATTCGCCCTCCCAAGCTGTGACAGCGCGCTCTGCACTATCATCGGATATTTTGGATTCCCTTTCTTCATTACGTGAGTGTACATTATTTCATTTTTTGTGTCGGCGATACCCTGTGCTTCACGGTACTATCCGGTGGCTGGTTTCGACCGCACTTAGGTAGCATTTCCCCGCTGACCTATTTATCATTGTTTTCGTCGCCTACTCACCGTTGTGTAAACTCTTGTTGCCCCTCGGTACTATCCGAAGGCAGTTCTGATAACTCACGTATAATTTCTCTCCTTTATAACGTTAAATCTTTCGGTTCTATCCGAAGAATTTATCACGTGTTATATTAGTTTTGAGTTCCTACGGTGCTACCGAGGACATGTTTTGACGGAGTCATGGCTCACAGGTCTCATATCTCCGTCTCTCCACCGAGCTGCAAAATGTGCCCAAACACACTTCTTCCCGACGACGGACACGATCGCTGCCCGTCATGTTTGGGGATACAGCATCTGAAGGAAGCGTTGACTGATCCGTGTTTGCATTGTGCCATGCTGCCGCTGTCAGAAAGACAGCTTCGTCTTGCAGAGCTAGATCCTAACTCATCTGCTAGCCTCGCGCAGTCGTATTCAGCGCCACAGCGCTCTCAAAAACGTCGCACATCAGCGGCTGCTGGCGCTCCGCCAACCAAAAAGAAATCGTCGCCGCAGACAGAAACTTCGCTATCGAAGACTGTTGCTACTCTCTCTTCAGAGATGGCAGAGATGAAACGTCTTCTTCAGTCTTTACAACCCGTGGTATCAGCCGCACCTACGGAGAACACTTCAGTGAACGAGATTGATTTCCAACCCCCAAATACTATCGATTTAGACATTTTATCCATGAGTGCATCTAATTCACATTTTCTTGATGAAGAGTTGGTGGAGCCTGCCCCCCCGCTGGATGCTCTCTCCAGCCTGTCTGCTGCTGGTGGTTCAAGCGGTGGGTCTGTACATTCATCTAGTGCAGGCCAGTCTTCTCCCGATGACATTCTTTCGATTCTGCAGATGGCAGTGGCTCGTTTGGGTCTCGATAACTCTATTCAGCCTGCTCAAACTAATGTGTTCTTCAAGCAAAATGCTGGTAATATGTTTACTATGCCTCCATGCAAAGACTTTGTGGCTGAATTCTCCAGTACATTAACAGGCTCCAATGTGCCTAAGAGGAGGTCAAAGACAGCCCGCACTCTTGCCTCAATGGCTGAGGCTGACTTTATTGGAGTAGGTCGGGCACCTGAAATTGAACAGCCGGTGGCAGCATTGGTGGTATCACCAGATGAAGCGCTTAGAGGCAATGTCCGCTGCCCAAGTGCCCAATGTGGTCGTACTGACGCATT